TGCCGGGCGCGACAACAAGTTCCCGTCAAGGTAACATGCGAACTTGCGAAAGAGTGTTCAACACCCGACACCCGGTGGACTTGCAACTATTCGTTCAACCTTCTAAAGTCCTTATTTTCCCCCTCTCCCTCTTTTCTTTTGTGCACGCAAGGTGCTCGCTGAATTGCTTGTAAAGCTTCCCCTTTTCGCGAGACGTTGAGACTTGTCCGTCGCTCGTTCTTCGAACTAATCAACTTTTTCTTTTACAGGTCCTTCGGGACCTGCGAGAGGTTGCAAGTGGGCTAATCTTTACGGATGCAAATCGCAAGGGCGAAGCGCGACTTAGGCAACGCAAGCTAAGTTCGCGTCTTTGCCGCAAGGGTGCCTTACGCCTTAGGCAATTCCAGCTAAGGCTGTGACATTGTGGTATCACAGCAGAAGATTGAAGACTCAACAAAGGCGAGGAGTTGCAGTGTCGACAAAGGCTTCGACGAGGACGTCGAAGGAATAAGTGGGGGAGAATGTCACGGACAAAGTTCTAAACAGAATGACACTAGTTGTTGGTCAGAATGAAACTATAAGTATATATTCTGTTAGGTATACTGAGATAGATATACTACTGCTAGGTATAACATAACTGAAGTAGATTATTGAAACTGGTACTAAGCTGAGACTTGGATCCTAAGCTGATAATCCCTTTGTTGAAAAATAAAGCATCTGGTAGTAAACATTAAGCATCCAATGATAAAATTTACGCATATAACTATCAATTTCTGTAAAATTAGAAAATTCTCATGTAAAGATTTCTTATAACCAATATCAACAGTTAATATTAACAATATTAGAAGATTTAGAAATCTATGGAAACCCTAAAACTATGAAACTCTTAAAAAATCATATTAAAAATTTTCAGACATAGAAGTAACTAGGTAAAAGCCATTTGGTTTCTTCCTCATGATACGTTGATTATATCCAAGTTCCACATATGGTAGCAGAAAGCTCCTTAAAACTTTAATTTGCACATGTCTCTCAGTAATCAACGAATTATTTTGTTGAGTCTATATAAAAATTTTCAAGAGGAACAAAATGTAATATTTAAACAAAGAAATTAATGCACTTTCTAATATTGCTCATGAAAACATGAGCAATGATAGCCAAGTTGGAAGGCCATTTGGCTATTCCTGTTCATTCCAATTGCAAGTCATTCCTAAGGAAGTTCTGGCATATATTTCAAATATCATCCACTCTGCAAGCATTCTTTACCTGGTTCAATGTAGGATCGCCAGACAAATTTCGAATCGCTTGCAAGCCCACATCCACTTGATTGACACTTGCGATAAATATGTGAAACAACCACTCTGCTAGCTAAAACCGCCACAGTGACATATTACCTGATCAAATACTATTATCGATTCCGCTAGTCATAATCATGACTCTGCCGATGTAACAACTTTCTAAAAAAAAAACAAAGGATTTTCAATGCAAAGTGATTCCTTCAGCCAAAAAGCTCAATTTTTCACAAGATTAACATAATTTCTAGATCTAGAGACGTCAAGCGGCAATTCAATCAAAACAAACGGAGGGTTATGGGAGATCCAACCGACAGATGTACAATAGGAGGCGGCTGATAAGGGGAGCGAATACCTTGATGGTGCGCCCTTGCTCGGAGATGAGGGAAGCCTTGACGAAGGTCTCCTCGTCCACGAAGACGGCCTTCTTGGCCATGAGTTTCTGCATCGCGTCTAGATTAGCCCCCATCTCGGAGAGGTTCATGATCGCCGCCTTCCACCTCTCTCCCCCGGAGCCCCCGCCGCCCTTCTCCGCCATCGTTGCTCTGCCCGCCTGCGCTGGAAGCGTCCGATCTCAACCCCTTCGCGGATGGACGTCTGAGGTCATTAACAGAATTGAAATCGATAATACTAGCGAAAATAACGATAAAATTCAGATAATAAACGTCAGATATATCCCCTCGAAATTTCAAAGCCTCAGTTTAAGGAACTTGTTCCTCAGGAGCAGCAAACAAGAGACGAAACAAGTGTGTCCCACTCGCCCAGGTGGTAGAATTCTTCCATCAAACGGCCATCTGCTCTCCATAGCAAACGAACGGATAGGATTCCATCATCGCCAATATAAAAGGTCAACAGTCGGCATTTTCCGAAGAGGGCTTTTGCCGCAGCCGAAGAGCGGCAACTGACGCACCTCCAAAAAGAAGGTATTTTTTCTCATGTAAGCTTGGTGAGCTATAGGACAACACGAGGGTTTTCATTGGAGGTCTGCTTGGCATGGAGGCTTCCTCAACTTATCAACTATAGAATGTGAAGTTACAAGAGTGAAAGGACTTTTGAAGTCAGTCATCGATTTATAATGTTCTTCAAGTTAAGGCATGAGGTCTTCATGTTTTCAGTATCTATTGGCAAATTTTCACTGTATTATTAAATAGAAATAAACATGCTAGAAAATTTAAGAATGAGAAAAGGTTGATAGGAGCAATGCGGAGTCATCAACGCTGTCAAAAGGAAGAACAGAACAGATATGACGGGATGCAGCATTGAAGATTCAGATTCACTGGTTGAAGCAACTTCAAATATTGTGCAATTGCACTTCTCTTTCCTTAATATTGTTAACAAAGATGAGCCCAAATAGATCCAAGAGTATACGAGAATCCCAACTACCGGCATGAATCAAAAGGTGTCTTGTTAGCAAGGATGAACCCAAATCCAAGAGTATATGAGCATCCCAATTATCCACATGGATCAAAGTATTCATCCTCTTGTTTCCAAGAGTATATCCACATGGGACACCCAACTAGTGTTCCAACTATTGAGATACACTTGCTTATTCGGCCATTAGCCTCGCTTGTGCGCGTACAGATTAGGCACATCATCGTCGTCCTTGAAATCCTATTGGTTGTTGTTACCATATCCACCATTGTTGCTGAAGCTGCTGCCAAAGCCTGTGGATTCACTCCCACCATAGGTACCACGACCATAATCAGCATTGCTGCCACCTTCTGCAACACCACCACTGTTGCTGCCACCATAACTGCCACCACCACCACCAATGGCAACTCCATAACTACCACCATCACTAGCATTATCATACCCACCACCAGTACCATCATAGCCAACAGCGGGGCCTGTATTGTAGCTCCCTCCATAATTATTTGAGCCACCGTCTCCATATCCTCCACCACCGTACCCACCTCCACTGCTATAGCCACCACCAGAACCACTGCTGCCACTGTAGCTGCCTCCCATATTGCCATAGCCACTGCCACCGCCACCATAGCCACCACCACCATAGTCACCACCCCCATAGCTGCCACCACGAAATCCACCTGTTCTTTCTGTGGCATAGTTAACCCTTATCATCCGACCATGAAGATCCTGATGAAGTTGTAAGAGTGATCACTGATATTAGACATAAAGTTGTAGAACTCTATTTTTTAACGTTTCCATCTTGAAAATTGATAAACAACATTATGCTTAACAGCAAAAACATATATTCTTTCATGAATAGCTCCCAATGATAGAAAATTACAGTTACTTTATTCAGCCTTGATACTTGTCAATCACAAATTACACGTTTCTAGAGAGTACTCAATGACGAGTAGTACAATGCCATGATAATGAATCTTGGAAAATTTTCCCTAACACAACATTATTGTAGAAGATCATATGAAGTCTCAAGTAGGCCATTTTTTGTCCCACGTAAAGTACAATTTGGGATTTCCTTTTTCATCTTTCTACAATTTTCATTAAATTACTCTCTCTCAAAATCTATGTTGACAATTACCAAAATCTATGTTGACAGTTAATATATGGAAGAACATAAAAGAACGGAACTCAAAATCTATGTTGACAGTTAATATATGGAAGAACATAAAAGAATGGAACTCAAAATCTATGTTGACAATTACCAAATACAAGTAAAAATGAAAATCATTCTATCAAGTTAACCTGGAACTAGTACAATCTCCAATTAATTAGATTGAGAACATTTCGGATTTCTTGGGGAAAAATTGGGATAACAATTCAAGAGGATAACAGCATCATGTGGAGTGGTGATTAAATAAAGCAACACACTGGCAGAGAATGATTATGCAGCCATGTGATGAGATATATTATATGCACTATTCACCATATCAACACCCAAAAATTTCCATGAACTTGTAAAGCCGATGAGTCAATAATTTTCCCTTAAATAGGTCTATCACTTTCTTGTTGCAACAAGATTACGTCCTGATTAAATTACACATAAACATCATATAGCAAACAAAACTAACAGTAAGCAAAATGAACTGTCCAATATATGTACCTTCCCATCCATGCCAGATATGGCAGCAGAGGCGTCTTCATTAGATGTAAAAGTGACAAACCCAAAACTTCTGGACCGTCCAGTTTCCCTATCCATGATAACTCTAGCTGCACAGGAGAACATGTGTGTTAGCTTGTAAAGTAAATTATTTATTTTCTCAGTAAAGAAAAATAACCACTTACCTTCAACAACTTCACCGTAATTAGTACATGCTTCTCTTAAACTCTGATCATCTGTGCCATTTGAGAGTCCTACAAAGCAAGTAGTAATCACATTAGAAGTTGCACCAGCATTAAATCAATTGCCAGACTTGAAAGATGTTCTTGGTTGTATCATGCCAAACCTCCAATGAAAATTTTTGATGATGACATGCATCGTATTGCTTGATACAATGATGGGCTGGAAGTTATAGATTTCTTTAAGAGATTCCCGATTCTGTTTGCAAAAGCCATTCTTCACTCCTGAGAATAACAAGGGCAGGAAAACATCTAAAGAAAATATGATAATGCAACACAAAAAAGAAAGAATGCAAACAAGCTGAACAAATTGTTTTCCAATTTTTCGTGCCCAATGTAGGTTCAGGAGGCAAGATACAATAGGAACCAACAGTTGTTTAACTTCCAGACTCCAGAATCAGCTATTAAATTGTCATGTTGGAACAATTGTAAAATGTTCCAGAAAACCAAACCTCAAATGAATTACCATGCAGTCTAAAGTTGTCTGGTAGGTGGAACTCTACCAGCAAGTTGACTTCCATTTGGACAAAAGAACAACTATAAATAAGAATCTGGTACTGTAAGCCCATAGGACTACCTGATCAAGGCTTTAAGTTGGAGCTGTAAATGGATCACATTTTGACCCGATCTGATATGAAATCAGATTGCATCAAACCGGGATGTGTACATTTATGGTCAGGCATAGAATAACCAAGTTGAGCATGTGTTTATAAACATGCAACCTGACTAGATGCATCGCTACTCCCTTTAGTTGGTGACTAGGAAAAGATCTGATAGCATATCCAGATTAAAGATCTGGGTCACTGCAAATGGATTATAGATCAATTGCATAATTGTTTGTCATTTTTTATGCCACTACTTTCGCTAGGAAAATTAGAATTGGAACCTATCTATTTACCCTCAAGTTGGTTCCAGAGTCAAAGTAGGTAATACAAGAATATATGGTGGTTTGTATAGTATGAATGCCAAAACAAGTAATGGCTTGAAACCATGTTGTGTCAAAATTAATCAACTAATATTCACTTAAAGAATGCTTAAATACTTGCATTCAATCGATAAAAAATATAATTTTAAATAAATATGGTGGGAAACAGCAACTAAAAAGACATGTTGCACAAATGCAAATAACTCAAATAAAAAAAGAAAATTAATTATACAATCAAATTCTAAGGTAAAAATATCAAGACTATGACGCACTCACAAATCCTTTTAGAAAAATATATTTTATGCAACATAACACAGACAATATGTATTTTCTATTAAAGCATTGTTAATCTATATAAGATACATTTTTGAGTTAACATACTGGATTGGCCTTAGGCTTATACGTTACCCATATGACCCAGGATCAAATCAAGTATAATAAGATCAGACTGTTAAAGTTAATTGGAACAAGTGAAGTAGCTAAGCAAATCCTTTGGTTAAGCAGTTAAACTTACTCAACAAAAGAACACACAATAAACATAGCGCCATCAACTACTCATAGAAAATTTATTTAGTTATACCAACACATCTCATTGTATATCCAAGAGATGATTCAACTAAATGAATTATTGATATGCGAAGACACATCTGTCATTAAAATAAATCGGACAAATAAATATAAGCATCATTTTCAACTTCAGAAGAAAGAAAAAAAGTTTTCTAAACTATCCATGTATGGATTAACTCAAATGGACAAATGTTGAGCATAGAAACAACGCTAATATCCAATAAGACCCATTATACTACTATGATTGCACATGCAGTGGAAAAGTAGAGTTAGCACCATTCAGAGGACAGAAGGTGAAATTAATTAAACGCATAAAAGAGCCAGACTTGTGTACAAATCTGACACTCAACAGATAAAGCAGACCTCCAATGAAAACCCTCGTGTTGTCCTGTAGCTGACTAAGTTTTCATGAGAAATCCAAACTGAAAACGCACACTCAAACTCGATACATCAACAAAGAAAGATTGGGAAAGGAGAATATAGACGGCAAACTGATGAACGAATATATCAAATCAAGAAAAACCTTAAAAACATTTAAAGTTCGCAACCACGAGAAATGACAGATGATCATGAAGCAAACCAAGCAACGGTACGGATCGATCCTACGGTTGGGCCGACGGAGGAGAAAAAGGATCGGAAGAGATGAGAAGTAGGTTTAGCTACCTTCGTCGGCTGCGGCTCTTCGGGTGCGGCTAAACCCTTCCGTTCGTCGGAGGGTTTTAAGTTGCGACGACAGTTGATCTTTTATGCTGGTGGTGATGGAATCTATCCGTTCGTTTGCTATGGAGGGCAGATGGCCGTTGGATGGAAGAAATCCACTACATGGGTGGGAGATAATTGTTCGCTGTTCCTGAGGAACAAGTTCCCTAAACTGAGGCTTTGAAATTTCGAGACGATACCTCTGACGTTTATTATATATTTTTGGACATTTTACATTAAAACAAATCCGGACTTATAACCTATGACGCCCTATAATACATTTTTACGGGAGGTCGCTCCTTTTTCATCGATTGTACGAAAATACCCCTCTATACTCCACCAGCCACCCACACTCCTCGCGACTGCCGTTGCCGCGCTCCTCCCCTCCGGCGCCCCCCCCCCACCCGGTCCTGGTCTTCCAGCGTCGCCGCCCCGGCCCGCCCCGCCCCCTCCTCCCTTCCCTTCCCCGGTCTCCACTTCCCCGCCGCTCGCCCTTCCTCGTCGCGGTGGGAGCAGCGGGCCTCCGCGGAGGCGGCCTTGCTGAGGGAGGGGGCAGCCGCGGGCTGCGGAAGGGAGGAGGGCGTCAGCGGCGGGGGCAACCGCGGGCGGCGCTGCAAGCGGAGAGGACCTCCGTCGCGGTGGGAGTAGCGGCGACGGCGGCGGAGACCTCCGCGGTTGTCCCTCTCGCCGTCCGCCGCCGCTTTACCCGCTTATCCCACCGCGACGAGGAAGGGCGGGAGGCGGGGAAGAAGGGGGAAGGGGAGGAAGCGGCGGCGGCGGCGGAGGAGGGGCAGCGACAGTGGCGAGAAGTCGGCGCCGCTCAAGGTGGGTAGCCGGTGGTGGAGGGGTATTTTCGTCCAGTCGACGAAAAAATGGCGACCCGGGTACAAACTTAATTATAGGGCGTCATTTTTTTAATCCCTATTTTCGTTAATCATATTGATTTCATTTCTTTGAATGACATCTGACGGCCATCCCCTAAGGGTTTGAAATCGTGCGCTTTCGGCGCAAGCGGCAAATCGAGGATGGCGGAAAAGGGCGGCGGGGACTCCGAGATGGGGGCGAATCCGGACTCGATGCAGAAACTCCTCGCCAAGAAGGCCGTCTTCGTCGACAAGGAGCCCTTCGCCAAGGCTTCCCTCATCTCCGAGCAAGCGCGCACCATCAAGGTATTCGCTCCCCTTATCAGCCGCCTCCTATTGTACATGTGCCGGTTGGATCTCCCATAGCCCTCCGTTTCTTTTGATTGAATTGCTGCTTGACCTCTCCAGATCTAGAAATTATGTTAATCTTGTGATAAATTGATCTTTTCCGCTTAAGGAATCACTTTGCATTGAAAATCCTTTGTTTTTTATTTGAAAAAGTTGTTACTTCGGCAGAGTCATGATCATGACTAGCGGAATCGATAATAGTATTTGATCAGGTAATATGTCACTGTGACGGTTTTAGCTAGCAGAGTGGTTGTTTCACATATTTATCACAAGTGTCAATCAAGTGGATGTGGGCTTGCAAGCGATTCAAAATTTGTCTGGCGATCCTACATTGAACCAGGTAAAGAATGCTTGCAGAGTGGATGATATTTGAAATATATGCCAACTTCCTTAGGAATGACTTGCAATTGGAATGAACAGGAATAGCCAAATGGCCTTCCAACTTGGCTATCATTGCTCATGTTTTCATGAGCAATATTAGAAAGTGCATTAATTTCTTTGTTTAAATATTACATTTTGTTCCTCTTGAAAAATTTTATATAGACTCAACAAAATAATTCGTTGATTACTGAGAGGCATGTGCAAATTAAAGTTTTAAGAAGCCTTCTGCTACCATATATGGAACTTGGATATAATCAACGCGTCATGAGGAAGAAACCAAATGGCTTTTACAAAGTTACTTCTATGTCTGAAAATTTTTAATATGATTTTTGAAGAGTTTCATAGTTTTAGGGTTTCCATAGATTTCTAAATCTTCTAATATTGTTAATATTAACTGTTGATATTGGTTATAAGAAATCTTAACATGAGAATTTTCTAATTTTACAGAAATTGATGGTTATATGCATAAATTTTATCATTGGATGCTTAAAGTTTACTACCAGATGCTTTCTTTTTCAACAAAGGGATTATCAACTAAGGATCTAAGTCTCAGCTTAGTACCAGTTTCGATAATCTACTTCAGTCATGTTATACCTAGCAGTAGCATATCTATCTCAGTATACCTAACAGAATATCTACTTGTAGTTTCATTCTGACCAACAACTAGTGTCAGATCATATGGTCTGGTATCATTCAATCTGACCAGCAATACATTTTTATTTTAAAAGGACACAGGTTGTTTTTTATTTTAGATTGTTACAAACAATCAATTTTATTATTTCATCTCTTTTTTAATGTGGATTTCTGGGTTTTGAAGTTAAAACTTATATTGGTTCTAGAAAATCTTGGTATTTTTTATTTTAAAATTCTTGTTCTGTGCTTGCATTTTTGTGCTTTAACATCATGTCATTCCCTCTCAAATCACGTGATAGCTTGGAGCTCTTTGGTCCCAATTAGCATGCTTGTGGATGGACCAGAGAGATCTTTGTATATGCTGCTAGAATTAGATTAGATTAATATTCAAATTTTGGCACACATTATAATCTATTAGTAGGCAATCATGACTCTTATCTAGTTGTGCCACCCTAGATATATGGTAATTGTCCTTATTTTGGTATCTTTATCCAGGCTTCTTGACTAAATGAGCCTTCTTGTATTATCTAGGTTCTTGAACATGGGAGGGAGTTCTTGTGGGGAGCATTGGCCGGTGGGTTTGGAGAGGGTATGATGCATCCGATTGACACTCTGAAAACAAGAATGCAGAGTCAGGCTGTTATTAGTGGCACTCATGTATACCTTTAACAGCTTAGTTTAGATTTAAATTCTTTGGGATATGTTTCTGAACCTCATTACTTGATTTAATCAGGCTCAGAAGAACATCCTGCAAATGGTCAGGAATGTCTGGGTTTCAGATGGCCTGAGAGGTATTTAATGCTTGCTACCCATTTGATGTACTCCATAGTTGAGTTCCTTTTTGTGGTATAAGGTGGTTTTGTTTTTGCTCTTAATTATTGCAACCAACAAAGGATGCTTCAGTTTGTCTGTCTGGATTATTTTTTATGTAGGATAAAACCATTTTATTAGAAGGCATTTCTGTATGTATACAAAATGTCTAGGTCATGTGTCACCTGTATTTCTAGCTTAAGAAAGTACATGTAGCATCTGGGCATTCTAGGTCAGCTCCCACCTAATCCTCAGAGCTAACAGTGGCACATTAATTTGTTGCACTCTTTCAGCTCATTGCTTTCTTCCCTCTGTTTCTTATGGACACTTGACCTCTTTGGTGAAGTGTATGATACCAGTTCTTCATATGATAATTCTAATGTCGGGTCAAACCAAGGTTTGACGTACCAAAGCATATCAGTCAGTATGGGTGGTATGTACCGGTCCGATAGAGGATCGGTACGGGTGGTACATCAATACATCTCAGTATACCATGTGTCAGTATGCTCGGTATAGCCTAGTATGTACCATACTGATAGCCGGTCAGTACACCGGATCGGACCGGTAATGTGAACCATGAATCGAACACTTGATCATTTTTTTATTCATGTGGTTCTCCCATTTTCACCTAACTTGGTTACTTTTGTTTATATGTTTTAACTGTCAAAGTATATTAAAGGTGTCATTAGGCTAGGCTAGTATGCTTTCTCAAATGAGGGTATATAAAAAGTTCAGTCTTTATCAAAACAAATGGCATAGAGTAACACAGCAACTAAAGGGGTATATGATGAAACTCTTAGTTTGTTATTAACAAAATAATGGTCTAAAATGTGATAAAATGCCTGGAAATACCTCCTAATCTACTTGTAATGGATGCATAGGTTACTGATGACTTAATCAGTGCATTGTATCTTTGGCATGGTAAGATGTTGGATATTATGCATTATTGTCCCTTGATGGAAGAAGTACATGCTTTTTGGTGATTTCTCAAAAAAAGGGCCCTTGTACCTTGGAATAAGAATCTGATGCTCACAATGGTAGGCCTTCATTGTAGTAGTGATTCATATCTCAACGCATCAGTGTGTCCCAGAGAGACTATTTGCCTGTAACTTGTCAAAATACTAGATGATTTATGTAGAAAAATTTTCTACCATGGAAAAGATTACCTAACAAATTGAAATATCTTGTGATGTAGGCTAAGAAATATTATGATTTTATTAACACCCATGTGCATTAAATTTACTCTCTTTTCCAGGATTTTACAGAGGGATCACTCCAGGTGTGACTGGATCACTGGCAACCGGTGCAACTTACTTTGGTGTGATAGAATCTACCAAGAAATGGTTGGAAGAAGCAAATCCTAGACTTAGTGGTCATTGGTCTCACTTCATTGCGGGAGCAATCGGTGAGCAACAGTGTAGTGCCATCCAAGTATTTCAAATAGCAAAATCTCAAGATTCTTTCTGAATGTCACGTTTCTCATTGACCCTTTGTTTCATAAACTCTAGTTGTTAGATGCCAGATTACACAATTTAACAGGACTTTTTTTAATTGGCTGTAAATGTTAAATTTTCCTATTCCTTTTGATAATCAGTGAGATGCAAAACTTGGTTGAATACTGCTAGGTTAAGGAAAATTATGAAAATTTTAAGAATGTAAACTTTCTTCTCATTAATTGTTAGCTTATCCTATGCAAGTACACATTATCTTAACGTTTATTTTTCCATGCATATGTAATTAATTACCATTGATCGCAGATAATGTCCATGCCAATTGAGTTAGTCTAGTGAGAATAATCAGAGAATTATGACCAGAAAACAAGGGAATCACTGTTCCTTGTAATAATTTGACAACATTGATATTGTAATTTTGCTTTCTGCATATTCGTTGAATATTGTGATGATTTTCATGGCCTCGTATACACAATTTGCTTATAATTTGTGCCACATATGGATTTCAACACATGTTATTAAACTTGAAATTTCACATGGTATGTGGTCGATGATCCTCCCCAGAACTGGCATGCACAGTATAACATGTAACTTATTTACAACTGACTTCATTAAATTTCAAGAAAGTAGTTTACCAGTTTTTACTATCAACTTGATATTAGATAGCAACATAATAGTTGCCTTGAAGAATTTTAATCTCTATTCATTCCATTTCAGGAGATACACTTGGTTCTTTTGTCTATGTGCCATGTGAAGTCATGAAACAACGTATGCAGGTGCAAGGCACTAGAAAATCTTGGGCATCAACAATTATGAAAGAGAACATTTCTCAGAAGCCAGGGGAGAGAATGTATGGTTATTATAATGGAATGTTTCAAGCAGGCCATTCAATTTGGAAGCAACATGGTCTAAAAGGTTTATATGTCGGGTACTATTTTTGTCTAACATTTTTATTTTGATTTCAGAGGGCATTTGCATATATCTAAATTTGTCACACTCATGCATGCAAGTGTGGAAACACACACATATGCATGTTTTCATGTTCAGACCAAGTTGCTTGTGTGTTGTTCGAGTAGATTCTATACTACCTGAGCATGTTTATTGATTCTCTCCATTATATACCACTATCTTTCTCATGTCAGTTTACAATTTCTTTTGGTCAAACATGTTGGCGTAGATTGAATTCCTTCTCATGGTCCCAATGTTTTTCTAGGTACTGGTCTACACTTGCGAGGGATGTGCCATTTGCTGGTCTTATGGTAAGTATGGTGAAATGCTGATTATGTAATCCATGTGGGTTGTTTCTTCCATGTATACTTTCTGGTTTTAGCATATAGATGAATTTCAACTTTTGCATTATGTTTGAAGTAGATCAATTTCTACATCTGTAGTATGTTTGGAGTAACCTCTCTATCTAACATTTTCCAACACCATTGGTATTGCCTTGTTAATGATGTGGTTGCTTTCTGTAATAGCTAGAGTTCCAATTGTTGGCCAGATTTTGGTTCAACCTAGTAATATCCACCTCTATCCAAAATTTTACATAGGCAATTGTGCTCTTCATCTACTATGTTTCCGTTATCTCCGAGTTCCTTAGGCTTTTCGGACCTTGCCTCATCACATTAGCTTATGACTCTATAAACTACTGGCATCCTTGTATATGTTACTGTGAAAATTTTCAAGTCTACCTACCAATACTTGTTTTGCCACCTTCAGGTAACCTTTTATGAAGCACTAAAAGATTTCACGGAGTATGGAAAGCAGAGTTTTTTACCCAATAGTAACCTGCATGTTGGCAGTTCTTTTGAAGGTCTGGTTTTAGGAGGATTAGCTGGTGGTAAGCTACTAATCTTCATGTTGCATGTATAAAAAATGAAAGATATCTCAAATCTGCTGGAAGAAATGAACGTCTTCTTCCCGCTGCTATTCTATAGTGTGTGATTTTTTTCCATAAGCTCATGAGTCTGTGAGGTAGAGCTGGTAACATCTGACATTATGGCATATACTGCAAATTTTTTATATCTCTAGTGGTTTTGCAGGATTTAGTGCATACCTTACAACTCCTTTGGATGTGATCAAGACAAGATTGCAAGTGCAAGGATCGACCATAAGGTACAAGACTTCATTTGAGTCATAAGAATAAATTAGCTGATACTAATTCCTGCTGCACCTATAACCTCTGAAGCAGCACCAAACTTATAATTGATATATGCTTTTAGAAGATTGCATTTGATCTCCAAAAGCACACCAATCTTCTCCATCTCAATATCCTTTGTTTTCAAGAATGTTGACAGTATCCTCATTTACTGATAATGAATGAAGCAATGTACACTCTTAACTCTTTTTTACCATTTCCATAGAGCATTAAAAAGAATATGTTCCCCGCATGCATTTGGCAGGTACAACGGATGGCTGGATGCGTTAAAAAGAATATGGATGGCTGAGGGCTTTAATGGTATGTTTAGAGGCAGTGTTCCGAGAATAATGTGGTATGTCCCAGCCTCTGCCCTCACCTTTATGGCTGTGGAATTCCTAAGAGATCACTTTAATGAGAAATTAGATGATGAATTCAATGGAGTCACTGGTTTATCACTAGACCCAAGCCCTAACATTCAAGAAGCAGAATCTTGCACCTGAGTTGCCTTTGCTATCATGACCATTATCAAGTTCTTTCTAACAATTCGAACAATCTTCTTGCATGGAAAGTTCAAGCTGGTTGGAAGAGGAACAAACAGTCAACACAATTCTTCTAGTAAGGCACGATCATGTGTAAACCTACACTGCAGAATAGTGGGATTCCTTAGCTTGTTAGTGACTTTGATATTATGTTCCTTGAATGACTTGCTTGTTCCACACTCTCCCGTCTATCCTTTGGCCCTACTTTTGGCATCGGAGAAAATTGGGAATGAGATTTTTCATATTTTAATGTAAATATTTATACTGTATTATAATATTTTCAGTAATATTAGGAAAATGTTCTAGTATATTATGATAATACTGTAATACAGTGTTTTTATATAAATTTTATAAAAATATTATAAATATAATATGTTTATATTTCGTTCGATTGTTTTCAACAATATTAGGAGGAAAATATTATAGTACAAAAATATTGTGTTTTATATTACGTTATAATATTTTTAATAATATAAAACATTATAACATAGTACAAAAAATTATGTTTCAATTTCTTTGTATTAATGTTACAGTAATTTTTTGATATCATGAAAAGTGGATTTGGTGTCGTTATGTCACATATTGCCTCTGCCTCCAAGGTGAGAACAGAAGGAAATGGGAAATGAAATGGGAAATCGTAGAGGTATAAATGAATACATGCATGTATAGTCCTTCGGGTTTAGGCATGTTGATTAGGTTTAGGCTCAAATCTTACACCAGCTCAAATCAACGTTAGGTTGATAAATCTCAGCTTGAGACCAACAAACAGAACAATGTGGCTCACGGTCCATCGCTATTCACCTTTGTGATTTGGTGGGGCCCTTTTGTGGGTCACTGAGGCAGGTAGGACGTGGGTTGGCGAGTAAAAAGATAATAATAATAATAAATGTCCGTGCTCTTCATGGAAGAATCTAGAAAGTTGTATTCAAAATTTCTTTATCCTATTTCATCCCATTTCTCCTCTTATTGGGAAGGGAGGGAGGGGGGCGGGAAAGACGGAGAGCGAGTGGCTCGTTAGGCTTCTGGAAAGCGAGCAGAGAGGCGATCATCCCGATTACGTCAACTGACATCGACGGGTAATCGACTACAGCATCAAGAACGTTGTCGCCGCCTCTGCCGGCGCCGAGTCCCGCGAGGACGGAGAGGCCGCGGAGGACTACGTCGATGCCTGGGACGCCGCGTTCGTCCAGGCCGACCAGACCGTTCTCTTTCTCTCCGTCTCTCGATATTTTCGGGTTCGACGGAAGGTGGTGTTTCTATTCTGGATTTCCTTCTTGATTTTGCAATAGGTTTTGGTATTTTTCTTTATACTTCTTGATTTTGGTTATTTATCTCCGCTGAGGTCATTAAATACTGCAACAAGCTCGTCGCTGCCTCCTTTAGCAGCGGGGAGTGGGACGTATCGGCGACCGACGAAGATCACCACTTCTGGGACGCCGCGGCATTCCTAGTCGACCAGGTCATCATCCTCTACTACGACCTCGTAGCGGTCCCCTCTTTCCCTTTTCACTCTCGTTCTAAGCTTTCGATGGAACCTAGTGCTCGATATGTCGGTTCTTTTTTTCCCTGCGTTTCTTGATTTTGCAATAGTTTTCGTTTATTTTTCCTTGAGCTTCTTGATTCTGCAATAGATGCCGGTTCTTGTTCTTTGTCCTTGCAGTCGACATGGGTCTTCTTTACGCTCCATGGCCCGATTCATGATTCGAATTGGATTATTTTTCTTGATATGTCGGTTCCGTCTCATCATGCTTCTTGATTTGCACCATGCTTCCGTCTCGATTTTTAGTTTATATTAGATGTTGTTCTGCTTCTGGATCTGCATTATAGCAAAGACGTCTCTAATCTATACAGATTTTGACTTTGTATTTGCTTGTCCTCCTCCGGATTGTGTTGGGTTGTAATCGCATTAGTTCCATCTGATCTTTCAGATAGAGAACTCAAACGACGCCATTTGTGCCTCATCAAGTTTTTGTCCTATTAAACTTGCGACGGTTGGAGTTAGGCAGCGGATCACCTATTTGGGCAACAAACCCAACTTGTCAGTTATCGAGATTGAGAGTACACAATTACCAACGGCTTCATAGGTTGTGAAGTTTTGATTATAATTACATACGGCAGCACTTTGGAAATTACATACATGTATATAATTACATACGGCAGCACTTTGGAAATTACATACATGTATATATATAATTTCGGATTAGGCTTATTGGATATTGGATCAGATTAAGGTTTAGGCTTAAATCATTCCCCAATCCAGACCTGAATTGGATTGAGAATTCTCAGTCACAACCCAACAGAAAATATAACCAGACCAACCCATCTATTAATCCGGATCTGAATCGGAATGGATCATGTTGGATCCAAGAAAAACTATATCATCCCCTACCCAGTTTGGTGGGGCCTTTAGTTCCGAGGTTCTGGCAGGTGGGTAACGTAGGTGGAGTGTAGGAATAAGAGTATGCCTTAATAAATGAAAATGGGGGCCACGTTCGAACTCCTTAATCCACTTGAAAAGTAGTCTACAAAGGTTCATTCGACTTTTTTGATTTGATTTGATTCCACTATTTAAGGTGATCTTTTTCGTTCTTTCTCCTCAGATATAGGAGGGAGACTACCATGGTTGGTTTGCGATCCTCGAGACGATGGTCGATCTTATGACGTTGACATTGGACCACGCCAAGGTTACGGATATAATGCAACAATCTTTTTCGTTATCCTTATTCTTGATCTGCACTAAAGAATTACATTCAAGTAACTCTTTTTTAAGCAGGAATTGGACTTCTAACTTTTGTTGATTGCATTGTGGTTATCTTTTTTTTTTTTTTTTCTTGGTGCCTACATCTATAATGGTTGATCAACTGTCTACATATTTGTATGTGGTAACATGTACATTATGACCTAAGCAGTGGATCACATACTTGGGTAACCAACTTGATAGGGCATATTATGGATTCCTTCACGTGGACATGATCCCCCACCACGCCAATGTAAGCATGGAACCTTGGGAGGAAGACGCGGCGTCACATCAGATGTGCCACCAGGAATTCGGAATGACGGTCGCTCTCCTCTCGTGCCGGGACAGCACGAACCAGTGTTGCCCTGACAAGGACTGCACCGGGAAGCTTGGGATGGCATCACATGACACCGTTCCACAAATCCCGAGCGACGAACGTCCGAAGGTACGAACTTATCGCTCAGGGAGTCGACCGTCGTGCGAAAGTCACATATGATCAACTCTCAGGCACTATAATAAAATCTCATTGCCAGCCAACATATGGCAAGGGGCAGAGGATCTTCGACAAAAAGAATTTCATTAACTTAATCTTCGGAGGGGCCTAAGTCGGGATTCCCCTCCCCATCCCGACCTAAGTCGATGTGCAAGAATCAGGCGACGACAAAGGCGGACGAGCTCGCTGAAGAGGTGCATCCCAACCGATCCCGAGCTCAACCCGATCAGGCGACGATCTTATCCCCGGGATGATCTTGAACATCACCAATTGAACCAAACAGTACAAACTCCTCAGCCACGGCATAAGGTTCACCAACACGACCCATCACATCTTCTTCAGGTAAACAACTAATAGGTATAAGTGGGTAGCTTACGGCAATCTGGCAGAACTAAACACAATGTGAACTACCATACATTCGAACTGGATTACGTCAATAGCATTAGGTTTCAGTCTCCAACAAAGAACTGTCATATTGATGAACCATGTGGATGAAGATTTTAATCCTGAACCCACAAGTGGTGAATCACTTTATCCATGATCTTCCCAAGTCCCACTTTTCTTTAGATTGCGGTCGTTATTTTTTTGTCCCCCCGAATCCCTGCTTCTTTTTTCTTGAAGTTGGGATTCCTGCTTCTTATTGAGTAGCATACAAATGAACCAAGGATTTCAATTTTCTAAAAATATTGTGTGTATTTAAGGTACAATCAACCGTACTATATAGGATATTAAGTTTTTATTCGGATTATTCATGATTTTACGTGTGTGTGTATATATATATATAGCACATCGTATGATTGATATTCAAATCAATCTGACCAACTAAGAAATAGGTATAAATAATAGCGAGAGCCAAGATAAATATTAACAAAAGAACTAATGCACCATAGATCTCAATCGTTCGAAGATCATGAAACCCAATAAGTTTATGATGATGACCTTTATTTCCAAGATATTTGGGTGATGACTATTAAACGGTGTAAGCTGGTCCCATTGATGACCAGAATGGATCGATGAGGATGGCGTAGTCTTGTCGTCGAGAAGCTACCAAATTCTTAATTCGTCTTAACCAATGGCAATGCATCAGGTGGTGAGAGGGGACTATGTAAACGTCCCCTACAATGACTTTGTAAAGAGTGACTTAGGGAATTGCCCCCCAAGCTGGAGAAAGTACTCGGCAGCTGTTGGAACTAAGTTTTGCTCATGATGGAAGTTTTTAACTTTTCAAATGATGCACATTTGCATATTAGTTTAGCTTTATGGACTAGCCTAATAACTTCAAAGGGGCATCCATAGATAGAAAAACCCAATATAACAACACTACTTGGCCCAGAGAGTAGAAGAGCACTTAAAAGAGATGCTACACTTATTATAAAATTCGAATACCTCATCGCCATTTAGACATGGCGAAAAGATGTTTTTCCATCCAGCAAAACCTAATACTGAAATCCAGTTGTGAGACCTGAAGCACCTAGCGGCTTTTTCCCGGATGAAGACCCAACAGCACCCAAAGCATCTTCTTTTGCATGCGCCAATCATGGCCGTCCAAGCCCAATGGGATGAAAACGTATCTGCCCTAAGTGTTCATGCATTCACTTTGTGTGCTATGTTTTCATCGAGGACGTCAAAGTATCAAGCACAACTTATGTCATGAGATACAGTAGTCCCATTTTCTTCTAACCGAATCAATCTAAAAGAATCTCATGTCAGCCAATTTACCCATGAGTAGTTGGCTTTTACCTAGACCATCCTTGTGCATTGAGTGGTCGACGAACCTCACTGCAGCTTAGTCAACTTCCTGATATAAAAACTGCAATCCTCTTATTTCATGATATTTAATTCACTACCTCTTTCGACAGATCAGCTAAAGTTCTTAACAGCGACAACAAGCTGCTAGTAACCTATGCTTCTGTTGCATCTATAGTGCCGGCCTTCCATATGCCTTGCAGAATCACGAGAAGCATTTAACATCTTTCAGTCATTTCAACGCCAGCAGAATTGAGTTATCTACATAGCATACCTAGTGTTTGTAACAAGGATTAAGTTCATCACGTAACACACACAACAATAATACATCACCTGGGTTACTTAGGCATCACAGAGTTAGATTCTTCAGGTAGGAATGAAGAACAGCATTTTACAAGATGTAACTTACCATAAATAGAAGAATTAGGCGAAATATGCATCTCCTAATTTGAAATTGTTTTACCAGAAGATCTGGTACTGAGGGAGTTCAGAGGATAAAGCAGCAGGATCAGGCTCATAATTTCCAGGTGGCAGCACCATTGACATATGCAACAGCCTCCTCCCTGGTCAGTTGCTTCCCTTCTACCAGGCCATTCACTAGTGTATTCATATAGTCTTTTGCAGGCACGGATGCTGGTAGCTCTCCAGATTTAAAACGCTCAACATCTGATGCAGAGCACCTGCATATGAATGATATTTATTCATAAGTGTCAAGGATTTGAAAATAACTTCAGTTAGCATATAATTTGGAAAACATTCACACATAATGCTGTCATTAAGTCCTACTTCGACCCCAATTCCAGAGACTGAATGTTCCCCTTCAGCTGACATCTTAGAATCACTTTTGTGCCATACTTGATGATAAGTCACACAAAGTGACAGAATTTCAGGGGCTGGAATGTTTATCGTAAATAATCCTGTTGGAAGATTCCATAACTTGTTCAGGTGGAATTGCACCAAAGCTCAACCTCTAACACAAGGATTTTATTCACTGGAAGAAATGAAAATTTGTTCTATGTTCTTTAACACTAACTTCAAAAAAAAAATGACATAATGATATGTGGAAAGAATGATTTATTTCAGAAACAATGCGCCTTAATGTCAATCTGGCCATTGCATCATTCCAACAAGGGTGGTGATGTGGTTCAAGCATAGATCGAAACCTAAAAAACCAGTAGATGATGTAACATCAGGCAGCCTATACATTGATACCTCAGGCATGAGACTATTAAAAATGTTGCCTTTCAATGAGCAAGGAGGCCTCTGTTTGCAGTGACCTTTGGTTATGAAGGGAGAGGACATTGTCGACAATGATGGTGGTGTAATAGGTTTAGGATGTTTTTTGAATATTGTCACTCAGAGATCTTGGTTATCTAATGGGAGAGATTGACACTGCCCTAAATAGTCTCTCATCTATGAGTTACGATACTGAAAGTATAAGCCATTACCCTTTGCAATTAAAAAAAAAAACTTCTGGGAAAAAAAGGCAAGGTGTGCGATCATTCAGTTTGTGTCATGATAGTATCAAAAATTATATATAAGAACTAGCTAAACAGTGGTGTATTCTGTTCATGAAGTAAACGTTCTGGACAGAATGAAAACATATGTCAAAAACATGCAGAACAAAAAGTAGCAAAACAAGAAGCATACGTCATTGTTAAAATTGGAAGATCATCCTCTTTTCCCAAATAAAGAACTGTGGAGTACCATCCATCCTGCAGCAACGTCGGCAACAACTTTTCTTATATATGTAAGCTTACACATAATTAAGCAAGTTCATACAAATTTTTTAACAATGATATGCAATTGCTTTTTTGAAGTGCAGCAAGAGTCCAGCATGGTACCTTGAGGGTTTTCAGAGGCAAAGACTTGTTTTTAGCAACATATTCGAGGATGTGTAAATCTAGTAAAGGAGAAGCCATCTGTTTAATAATACCATTTTCTTGGTGCAAACTATTTTCTTGAAGCAATACATCGTTGAACTGCTCAAGTCTGTAAAATAGAATTGTGAAACAAAACACGAGGTGGAGCAAGAAAAATCAACAAAATTTTGAATATGTAAAAAAGAAGTGTAGGAACATACGTTATTCTATACATGCATAAGTAGGCTTTGTCACTTGTGCTCCTTTCAGGATCAAGAAAAGCAACACCACCTGCACCCCATGTGCGGGTATGAGATCTTCCAAAGAGTAAACGATGAGGGACAATTTTCCAAATGACATCTTTTGGTGAACTTTTGTCTAGCGATCCACAGCATGGTGCACTCATGCCTTCCACCTATAAGAGTGACAGGAAAAAGATAAACAACTCATAACTAAGAAACATTTTAGGAACTTACAGAAAGTTATGATGGTAGAAAAAAAAAAAATAGAACATATAAGAGAATAGCATTGCATTTTTACTATTGAACTTAATTTTATAACATCAAAGTTTGCAAGAGTTAGATACAACATTATTTAAGAAAGGTTCCAACACACTGATTTGTTTTCTTATCTTCACGTGTAAGAAGGAAAAAGAATGTTGCAAATAAATGTACCAATGCATTTGATAACAAATGACAAGCCATTGCAGTTGTCAAATAATTCATCTAGCGGATTTCTTGCTGAGAGACAATGCACATTATTCCAGTCTAGTCTCAAGTGACAATCTCAGGAAAAGAGGCCTCATAGAATAAAGTTTCAGTTCTTCCACTTGAACCTCTTCATAGTAGAAAAATGACTACCAAAGGATGGTAATAAAAGCACAAAATATATCAACACTAAATTGGTTTTGCTGGTTCATAAAAAGGGATAAGTATGGTTTTAAATTTTCACGTGAAATGCTGCACATACTATCTTCAAGGTATGATCTACTTGTAAAAATTCTCTCTTGCTGAGATTCCCTTACCAAACATTCTTTTCCTGCTAAAGTAGAGAAGGATGCCAAAAACAGAATACACAACTAAATTTAGTTTCCACCAGCAAAAGGTAATGCATAATTCAGCAAATACAAAAAATGGCTTTGCTATAATAGTACAATAAATCAGAAGTATCTCACAATCATACAAAATGTAAGGATAGCTACCTTGGTTGCTCATACAGTAAATCTGCATACCTTCCCACCTTCTATATAGCACAGGAACCTTGGCATCCACATATTTGACCCAAAGCTGGCATACCAAACTTCAACTTTTGATAATAGTGATCTCCATGTGATATAACCATCAACAATCTCATTAGATGTCACTAACTCTGCATCATGAGATGCTTCAGATGCAGACAAACTTTCCTCTTCTTGAACTTGATCTGAAGCAATTACCTTCCCATGGTTACCTTCATCAATCTTCAGTTTCGAAAGGGGTAGAAGCACATCATCCTCAACAAAATCTGAAAAATTTATAGTTCGAGCGGTTCCCTCATCATTTTCCACATCAGACTCAGAACTAGAGTAGGTCACCTGAAATTTTAAGTTTTAAGGATAAAAACTAATAGACAAAACAACATTTAATGCAAATGGGAATAGAGGCTACATGTGAAAGAAATATAGGTAAAAAATAAGCAGCCTTATACAGAGTTCAATGAGGGGAAAACATTGATGTATTCAACCCAATAATTGGGACATCATGGCTTATCGTTGTTGCTGTTGTTGGTAGTTAATAAGCAAGTTCTCAGTCTCGGTTCAAGATCTCATGTAACCAAGTATTAGTGAAGATTTCCCAACAGTTTTTACTTCATAGGCAATAGCATTTGCCTCATCCAACTGACATCAGAGGTATGATATTTTCCAGCATATCATGCTTTCATTTATATGTAAATGAAGATGATAGACTCAAAAAGATGAAGCTGGAGAAGGCTCAAACCAGTGAAAAGCTTGCGTACATCCAAGGTGCACAATGCTATTATCACGAGAGTACCACAAAAAATTCCCAACAGGATACCAGTAGGCACTCTTGAGTTTTCTCTTAGATATATTGAAGCTCCCTAAGATTTAAAAACCAAGTAAAAATATGCCATTGTCAGACCACCCTCCAAGTCACAGTTTAGGATTAAATTATAGTTAAAAAGGTAACTATAATTCATGTATAAAGGCGCATTCATGTATTCTGGACAATGACATCGTTAAAAGGCCACAGAGGACTGTCAGTAATTCTGGCCTAAATTGTCACTGGGACACTGCAAAGAGAATTAATGATTATTTTCCATTTTCATGTTATATATCCATCCAATTGCAAGAGCTTTGATCCAATCAACTTGTAAAACATTGCTAACAAATCCCAACCTTCATATTTCTTTACACTAACAAAAATTAGTAACATGTGGGAAAAAAGGTGATTTTAAGGTGATAGTAAAAAGTTTAAATATGTTTCAATCTAGAATTTTACATGTATCCAAAGATTGTAAATTTAGAAGCTGGAGAAAGATTAAGAGTAAATTTAACCATCACAAATCAGCATATCAGATGAATGGATTCAAGTCAACTCTCTCTATTTTACTAAATATTTGTGGAAAGACATCGACAATCCATGAATTTTGCCAGCATCAAATTAGAGCAGAAAGCAAAATTGTGAAAGAAAACATTAAGCACCTCAGCTGGGCAAGGTCTGCTATTGGTAATCAGTAAGTTCTGAGGTAACTCGACATCCAGTACAGGCCAGTACCCTTTAAGTTCATGGCGAACCTGAGCAAAACTGATTTGTCAGTGAGAGAACATGTATTTCCAAAGATAAAAAGAGCACCAAAAGAAATAAAATTGGGTGACAACATATTACCGCCTCTATGACACGCCATGTGGACTTGAATGTTGCAGTCTGTATGGATCCAACAGATTCTTCTTGCAACAGCACTTTTGCACAAGCAAGAACAGAATTAGCTATGGACTTCAGATTATATCCGCCTTCGAGGACCATTACTATCTTTCCTTGTGCAAATTGCATCAACTTAAATAGTAACAAGGCAATCGATGAGTTAATAATGTCAGTTAATATCAGAAAAAGAATGTATAGTTCATAAAAAGGGTTGAAATACATATGAAGCAACAATGAATTATTAATTTTTAACAATGTAGATGAAGAAATGGCACCGTTTCCACAAACCAGGTTGGTGGATCAACACAAACAGATAGAATAAAAGAAACAAATCAGTGGTTCAAATTATTTACCTTTTGCAGTAAAAGTGAATACCCATGTGGTGTGACACAGCAGCCACCAAGTGGATCATCAATGGCTGTTCAAGGCACATTAGCAAAAATCTCAAGGTGGGAAAAAGTGGATGAACTGATATCGAACTATCATATTTAATTAAACAGTAATTTCAGCAAACAAAAGGGCATTCAAAAAGCAGGAAACTCTGCAAAGTAACAGCTAGGCTTTTGTGTCTGTATGAAGCATGACCATACATTGAGCGTCAAATAAGTCTGAGCTTTAGCCTCTGAACTGCCGTAGCAGCAGAATGCTCAAATACTTGAACTACTGGAATAGATATTAGCTGTTTAATTATCAAGAATCATTCTTTCAGCAGTAATGTCAAAAAGAGATGACCTTATTTAACAAAACTTTCCTGCGTACCAGATGACCTCTGAACTGTCACAGCAGCAGAATGCTTAAATACTTGAACTACTGGAGTAGATATTAGCTATTTAATTATCAAGAATGATTCTTTCTGCAGTAATGTCAGATAGAAATGACCTCATTTAACAAAATTTTTCTATAGTAATGTCAGAAAAGAGTCAACCATCCTCTATTCAATAGAGGATGGATGACTCTTTATCTTTGCAATTGATGTGGATAGTGCACTAATCTCTGATGTGACTGAGTCTAAGGTCGACTGTGTGACATGCACAAAGAAGTTTATGGTAGGAGCCACATGTTAGGTGCAAAAATACAAACAACAAACAACTATGACAAAGCTTGTATAAGTTTTCTTTTCAAATGTTACAAAGTACCAACTAGCTTGAGAGAAAGTAAAGGATCACATCCCTTCATGAAAAGAAAAAAGGATGATAAAACTCCATGACTAACAACTAAAAACAATTTAGTTAACTGATTATGATTTTCATCCAAAAATAGCTTCCCGAAATCTAAGGTTTTTAACCTAGTGAATTAGGCAAGTAGGCAACCATTTCAGTTCTGACAGCTAAGTTTCAAAGAGTACTTTCTTACTGTTTAGGTCCTCAGCATTGCTTGCAACTATACAACAGTTTTCCATTGCCTTGCTTAATTTATTAAAGCATATTGAATAAAGTATGAAAACGTAAAGCAAAGATGAATATTTATAATAATTAATCAAGAATTCATTTGCATATATTTTTGGATTCTATGTGTTATGGTTTTAGCAGGTTTGTCAAGCTAATAAATTTACTTAATTCCTACGCGGAAAGAACTATTTGCTAGAATCAATAAAAAAGCTTTCAACCTTTAATCTCGCAAAACAATTCAAATAAGCCTTGAAACTCTCCAATTATTATATCCAAAGATCTAACACAAGTTGGTGTTGCATTCAAAAAGGTAATATGCTGGTGTGAACTTATTAAAGAATTTGATATAACAGAAGACACTTCTCTACAAGCCACAAAGACCCAATGAGATAATAAGTAGTTGCTTATTACAGTCACTTAAACATGAAATTCGAAGAACCTGCTATAAATGAATCAGTCCCTTCATAGTCTTTGATAAATATCAAATAATATACATTTTCAACTACAACATGTTGCTGCACCGAACAAAGAAGTTACCAATCATAGCTCTTCCAATATTTGCTAATAAGATGTTATCTCAGACTCCCAGTACTATGATTGTATTTAACATTCCTAAATGAGTGTCAAACACTTGGGATTGCTTTCTTTGTCTCCACTAGCTTAATCTTTTCTGACGCCAAGTATGAAACTAGTGCATGTATGTCTTTATTAACCGAGTTACTCATATGCATGTTGATTATGCACAAGGAAATGATGGAACATGAAATAGCAGTTTGTATTCTAATTTTGAACAAGCAAAAACAAAGATAACCTGCATCAAATCCAGCAGAAACCAAAATAATGTCAGGATTGTATTCCTTGGCTATAGGAATCAACACATGGTCCCAAACAGCAATGTAGTCTGCATCACTACATTGACCATGTTCCCAGGGAACGTTGATATTGTACCCTGCACCTGGTCCTTCTCCGATCATGCAGTAAGCACCATCATCACCACTTGGATAGAAGTCTCCAAAGTCAAACCTAAAACAAGAATATTCTACTTATGTTCGCATATATTTGTGCATATATGAACCTGCTTTGTAATAAACTAAGAACGATTAGCAATGAGATGCCATATATCTTCAAGAGTGATAATAATCCAAATTAGGTGGCTTTCAGTTTTGGCTGCCTTCCAGATTGCTAAATGATAATTGAAATTTATAATACGAAGAACAAACCTGCGACACAAGAATTGGTTCAATATACCATTAGCATTAGATGGAATTTCCATGCAGAAATATAGACAATGTTCTTAGGTCTGCTTAAGCATTAAAATAAATAATTAACCAAAGCAAAATATTATTTCAATCAGCACCACACTATTTTACTAGTTCATATCAGGAGGGCTTCAAAAAGTTTCCTAATCACCTTAGAGAACTAGAACATTTGTCAACAAGGAACATGACAGTTCTCTAGCTAGAGAAAGCAATGGTTTCAGTTTGAGCACGAGATGATGTCCCCAAAGCATCAGCAGAATCTTTCCCACAAGGAGCAATAAATAGGGTTGCGTCATGTGAATATAAGCCAATTAATAATGTTATGGCAACATCAACAAATTTGTGCTTCTAACTGTTTTATAGTCAAACTACGGTATAAATTTGACCCAATTAACTTAAGGAACAGTGTGGAGTTAAAAATGAGCTACTGAAAATTAACACAGATCTAATATGAACTTTTGACATACGACTTTGGTCTACTAAAGTGACTAGGAAAAAACATAACAGAAACCATCACAAAGTATCATAAAGTACCCAATAGAAACTTCTTATGGTCCATATTGGCTGACTTTTTAAAATTTGTGGTGATTTCCATTGGCTGAAATTTAAATATAGTTGGAAGTATCTATAGGATGGTCTAGCATCATTGTATGACAATTATGTGATCCAATTAATAGTAGATTGTTAAATATTAAAATGCTATTTCAGTACATATTTCAAAGATAGGACAAAGATAAAGATTTTCAATCCAGATGGTATTTATTATATCTTGCGCCTAATGCTCAATTAGGTCTATGAAGATAAATACTACAATTTGTTGAAAGCTTACACTTCCTGAGAAATATATCATTCTACAAAGTGTGTGTATAAAATCTAGAAATAAAATTGAAGCGCTCAATTAATATTAGATCTTGGAAATGAAATAACAAGTTCAAGATGATGCCTGACTAATTCTCAAGGCACTAAACTAACAATGGTACTGAAAAGCCTAAAATTAATCAATGCGTTAATGGTGAAACTAGCCACAAAGTTATTTGACTGAAAAGGATTAAAAAGACAAAGCTCTGATAGAGGACTACAATTTGTCTTTTAACAAAATTCAACAAGTGAACTTGACAAATATTAATTAGTTGTAACAAGGCTAATTGCATGCTACAACTGACAGATGTGCCATGGAACGAATGAGTAAGATATATCAAACATTAGACAACAAAAACATGCAATAAAACATGTCACTAATGGGCATGTTAAATATATAACTAGAACTTAAACGAATGTAATGATATACATGCTATAAAGCCAAAAGCAAGAGATGATGTTATACCTATGAACAGAGAAAAATAACACACGAGGGTCTTTATAGAACATTTTTTGGGTGCCATTCCCATGATGCACATCCCAATCCACGATTAATATCTTCTTTATGCCTAACTCTGGCTGCAACAAAGGAGATGAGAATTTTGTTTTACGAGGAAAATAAAGTCACACAATAGGAAAATGAGTGATGTGACAAACCTTCTCATTCAATAGATAGTTAGCTGCAATTGCCACATTGTTAAAAAGGCAAAATCCCATAGCTTCATTGGATTCTGCATGATGTCCAGGTGGCCGAACAATAGCAATCACAGAATTAAGATCTCCTTTAGCAACCTTCTCAGATGCCTATTTGAAATTCGAAAAAAGAAGGTAAACATCAATATTATGATAGTAGAGAATAGAGATATTGTTAGATTACAAGCAAAATAATGTTCTCAATGGCATACTTATGTTTCATAATTGTTTCAAAAAATAACATTTCTTGGAAAGATCAACTTTGAATTGCATTAGCACAAAAGTTTGAAGTAGTATATGATGTATTACTTCGATGACTGAACCTGCAGCAAGGTAAGCAGCTTCAGATGAACCCACGTTAAGATATATAGAGTCCAACTCTGAAGCAATCTTTTGACGTCGGGAGTCAAACTCTTTAGAACTGATATTCTTAATCAATTCAATATGGTTCTGGGTATGAACAGATGCTAAGTACTTGTCCTCGACTTTCCTAGCATTGAGGAGTACACACCTGAAATTTTAGAAAATAAAAGTAAGAAAAGAATATGGACCATCTGAATAAAGCTTAGAAATTGAAGAATCAAAGAAGCAGCACTTTACACAATTCATATCTAGAGACACATTTGCCAGGATCTTTATTAAAGCATCACTAAGTTCAATCGAGATTATACAGTATTTTTCACATCTTATAGACAACAAAAAAAAAGCTCAGCAGAGATCACACAACATGACCACTATGTGATTGTGATACAAAAGTAAGCATTACCAAATAAACTTTGTTCACAAGTCATTCATTATTTTTTATGGAAATAATGATTAAAAGGAGTTGCTAGCAACGACAAGCAGCCAATGGTAATTATATCTTTTAGGTACACGTCACAGAGTACGAAACCAGCTTGCAGACTGCGCAAGCGTAAATTATTCACAGCTAAAAAGGAACAACAAAGCATAGTTCGAGATAAATGACGCTCATCCTAGTGGCTTCACGTCCCGCACAGATGCACCGAAGACCCTTTTGAGGTGGATACTTGCCATCTCTTAATCTTGCAATTGTCTTAAACTGATTTTAACAGTAAAACTTAAAGGCCGAGAAATCTCCTCCAAGACACTACCACTTACAGAGGAAAACAATTGCAGGCTAGGGTTTTCAAACCCATACCAAATTACCAGAGGAAAGGGGAGGATCTCCACCCGAGTTACGTCCCAATCGGAACAACAGAGACACCATGGCCATCCAGAAGAATCTCGAACACGAAAAGAACGGGAGAAGGAGATCCAGTTACCTCCGAGGAATTCCCTCGGACTCGAGCTTCTTCCAGATGGCGCGGATCCGCTCGGGGCACTCCGGGTGGGCCTCGCCATCTGGCGTCGTGTGGCGGCACATCCTCTCGTCGTAGATCAGGCCGACGCGCGGCCGCAGGCTGTCATCCGGGGACGCCGCCATCATCCCGGAGACGGATCGGAGATGGAGGGGAGAAGACTCCGAGGAGAAGGGAAAGAAGATGATAGGGTTTGGAGACGAGATAAAGGACTCGATCGCCACTTGGAGGGAATTGGAGGGAAACGCCTTTCGAAGGGTCCTTTTCGTTTCTATTCCAAGGCAATAGGCCAACAGCCTTACCGATTTGGAACTCTGGAATCTTCGCAGCGAGAGACGGTGACCTGTTACCGTTGATCAAAATTAAGCGTTTGGACGAAAGAGACCGTGGGTTTTACATTTTTATCTGGATTTTTGTTCAAATCTCGATAATATATGTTGTTAGGAGAAAAAAGAAATCATTAACGTCCTTGACATGATCCAGAATCGTATGCACAAAAATCTTTGAGATGATCTCGATATAGCAGATAGTTGGCTCTGAGATTGATCCAAGATAAATCTAAGATGGTCCCGTGGTGAGTTGATGTATATTTGAGATAAATCTAAGATGACTTCGAAGTGGTACATATACTGAGATCTAGGTTAAAAAGGTTTCTCGAATCGATCCCTTCGATGCTCAAGTTAATAATACTAAATCATTGAATGTGAGCTTGAATTATTAACATAATGAATAAGAATTATTATGTATGAATTCAATATACTATATGATTTTTTTTTCAACTTAAATTCAGTATAGAATGAAGGGTATATTAAAATTAAAAATTCCCATCATCTGATTTTACTATAGAAAGAAAAACCATAGCTAAATAATCGAAACATAACAAACAGGTGGTCATTATGTCTTCTTCTTCTTCTATCGGTTTCCTTCCTCCGCCGTGGAGTTCTGCTGCAGTCGAGGTTTCCTTATTAAACACCGGCTGATGTTCCGGTGACGTCTTGATGCCTCAGTCTCACTTACTCTGCATCTTTCTGTCGCTATCTCCAGCTAATTAAAATGTGTTTATGGTCAGGTCTTACGTGGGCAGCATGAAGTTAATTTCTTCTTTTGACTTGCTTGCCTTCTCGAAGCTAAACGAAGAAGGTTACGTTCCAACCAACTTAGCTAATTGGATGAATGGTGACAGAGGAATTTGAGATCAAAGACAAAAGAATATGAATTCTGCAACTGACAACTTGTCACCAAAATCACATCGTTCGAGCTATAACAAAGTGAAAATTTCTTGATGGTATCAATGGTACAAATAGCAGGAGAATAACAACAAATCTTTTACTAGGAAGATTTCACTGAACTGAGATATCAAAGGAACTGATCCACCTAAATAGCAATTTCACAAAGAAAAGACACACCAAGCTTTAGAAATTAGTGGCACCTGATGATTTAATCCTTTTATTTTTTGAGTTTTGAATAATATTTTATTGAATTGGTCTAATTCAATAAAAATCAGATAAAGATTTATTTGATATTTAATTATTTATTAAGAATACAATGGAACTTTATAAATAGAGATATATATTTATGTTTTTTCGATATTTAATTATTTATTAAGAGTCCAAGTTTTTGATGTACTTTTGATGGAACTCTATAAATAGAGATGTATCTATTTTGATAATCAATAAAATATTATTCAAACTTTTGACAAATCCTAAGAGGTCTTATTATTACCTTACCTGATCTATGAAGCTTCATCGTTAAAAAAAATCATTACAAGTCAATAAAAAAGAAAATTATACATTGTAATGCATTTCTTTTGGTAGAAATTATTTCCATGTAGCTTTTTTTTTTTTCCAAGAAAACTTCAATATTTTTTAATGTAACTTGAGGAGTTTATATATACCTTTGCACTAAAACTGTGTTGCTAGAGGAGTCAGCCACAAAAGAGCCATTCATAGTATCACAAAACAATTCAGTAGTTGAGAATTAAGATATTTCACAATTCACAGTCGCCATAAGAAACATACAAACTGAAACATTGTCTAATTTTTCACATCAAGTGACCTTTGGTCAACTATGAGCTTCAACTTCTCATGAGAAAAGTAACCTTGATTATTGCTGTGTAATTCCCAACTTCAATTAATTTTAGCTCCTTCACTAAAGTTGATTTTTTATTTTATTTTTATTTTTAAAAATACTCTTCTAATTAATTAATTATTAAAAAAATATTATTTTTAGAGGTATTTAGGTTTTCTTTAACAAAAAAAATTGAAATCAAATGTATTGTCATCAATCATTGTGCAGGTAGAATTTGACATTGGAAGTAGTTCTTGTGCTCAACTTATGGGATCATGTGGTATTGAGGGACACAGCTGTTGCACATGCTCCATGTACAAGAAAGCTGTGGACAGCATGTGGTTGGTATATGGAATTGAATTGTGGCGGTGTCGCATTTTATTTGAATTGACGATAGTTGGCGGTTCGTTTGCATCGGACTCCCATCGATACGAAGTTATCGGAGGGTTAATCGGTCAATTTATAGCATTGCTTCCTACTCGTAGAGTAATAATGCTAAAAAATAATCAATCAACTATCAACCTCATGAGGTGGAATTATTATAAAAAAATCTAAATTTAAATTAACAATAATACACTCATTAAATTCTTTATCCCCTTAGGACTTAATGTTATCGTTATTATCAAAGTCTAGCATATCCTAAAATTAGATCATAATATGATAAAACAAATTAACAAATAAATATTGTAAATTATGAATGATCGATTAAACTTAAGTTTATAGTTACTAATGCCATGATGCAATTGGACAATTGACTCTCGATAGTAATTTATGACTCGAATTGATATAATCATATATATATTATCGAAAAAAATATTATTGATATTTATGTCAGTATGATATGATCCTGATTCATATGCGATGAGTCGTTCAAGATAGAATGTGATTTCTTTATACTCGTTTTCTACACAAAGATCGAGGTCGAGGGGTTCTCAAGTCGATTTTTCTGACGCTTCAGTTAGTACTAAGTTTCACCTTTTTTATTCTCCTTTTTTTATTTAAAGCTAATGACATTTTTATGCTAACATCGAGGAGAAAGAATATCCTATGAAGATCCTAAAGGGAAAACAATTTGTAACCAACCTAAACTACTTTATAATCTTTCGAACATATTCTTACAAATATTTTGCATTGCAATTGATTCATAATCAATTCGAACTATATTTTGGTATTCTAGAAATATTCTTACAAATATTTCATAAGAGAGCCGGTTCACTCAAATTACCTTTTAGTATTCTATGAATATTTCACGAGTGAATCAACTCGAACTACTTTTATAGTATTTCAAGAATATTCTTATGAATATTTTATAAAAAAATCAGTTCGTAATTAACCCAAACTACATTATGGGATTCCGAGAATATTTTTACCAATATTTCTCAAAAAAGATAGCTCGACAACTCGGTAACTAACTTAAGTCGTTTTTTCAGCATATATCTTTCTGAATAAGAGGTGTTGGTCGTATATGACATCGATATGATGAATGATAGATCGATTGATTTTATATTTTCTATCACTTATTAATTTATTTTAAAATTTTTAATTTTAAATTTAATAGTAATGTGTTAATATGATATTTATAAGTCAATCTATTTTTTTATGTAGGACTAAATTGAGTATTAGATGAACTATAAAATCTAACAACTATTTACTTCTTTCTATTAAAAAGGTAAATAAATATGATATATTTTCTTTTTATTTTTTACTAGTTTAGAAACTTAAACGTGAAAATACAATATGTCTTAAAATAAAAATAATTGTTTTACTTCGATTTTTGGGTATATGAAAAAAAAGAATAGGGGGTTCGGCAATCCTTAATTTATCGAAAGCTTGATTCTCTTGCTATTTTGACTAAAATATCCAAGTAATGTAAATATATGAAAAGATATATCGTTAAAGATGGAGTCTACTAAGAAAAAAAAAAACCCAATCGTTGTAAATAATTTAAAGTTAGAAAGAGTCCAAATAAAAAATAAATTGATCATTTGGCCGATCAATTAATGTGTTACGACGTAGATTCTACCAAATGGCTCACAAGCAACGGGTAAGAACAATAATAATTTGTTTACTACCGATAGCAGCCGGATGATGTTGGTGCATATAAATATAACATGTATCTTAAAGATTTAATTGGGTGATCATAAAAAGCAAAATTGTATTTATAAGTTCTCAATATCTCATCTCAAGTGCAAAAACCTTCACATATGAAAGAGACCTAATCGTATAACTTTAATTAAACATTGAAATAATAATAATTTTCATGTGATATAATTTGATTGGATAACCATAAATCTCAAGAACTTAAGGTATCAAAATAATCGGACTAATTTGATTGAATAATCGGTCTAATTTAGCTGTATTTTGCCAAGAATTTCAACATTAATGACTGTCAAACTATAGAGGTAATTTTTAATGACTATTATTGAAAAACTAAAAATATTATATTGAAAAACTAAAAATATAAGATTTTTTTAAAAAAATCATTCGGGAAAAAAAAACTTGGATCACGAACTAAAAAAATACTTAAATTTAAATTAATAATAATTTATCAATTAGATCAAAATATTATAAGTGTAACACATTGATTAATTATATATAAAAGTGAGCAAAATTAAAATTTACTTATAAGGATTTGATGAGTATTCTATTGTCAACATTGCTGATATGCATTATGTTTAAGTTTGATAGATAGTTTGAATATTTTGAGTCAGTAATTAATGCTCAAGACGACTTTCAATGTAGATGTTTTACATAATACATCAAAATCTCAAAAATAAAAAAAATCCTCTGTTACTTTCTTCTTTTTCCTCTTCTTCTATCTTCTTATTCTATTTTATCTGTATTTTATGCCTTCATCGGTAAAGTTTTGGTTGCAGTGTGCTTTATATCGTGATCAATATCATCTACTTTCTTGATTGTTTATAGAATTGTATGATAGTTGTATGATAGCTGAACTCTATACCAGCCTAAACTTATTTATCAAGTGGAGGGTGATTCATATATCTTTAATAGGGCCTCATCTGATCAGATTTTAACTGAGGATGCCTTTTTTATTTATTTATTTATTTTACCTGGATGAGCAGGAACTATCTGTAATATGATTTTTAGGTAATATATTATCTTTTTTGTTTGGAGAGAAAACAAAAATAAATCATCTGCTTTCTTTTCTTTCTTTTGCCAAATTTAGGTGCCGCCATTCCACGAAACTGTCTCTTGATGTCAATTTCCTTCCTTTTTCTTGTTTAACTATGGTCCTGCGTGCTAGCTTTCTTTCTGTCACACATAAATTGCTCGAGCTGGCAGTCAGTTGTCATTCCTGGCTTCTTAAGCTTTCTCCACCCCCTTTTTTTCTTTTCTTTTCTTTTTTATATAAAACATAATTGACATTTTTTTTTTAGTCAGAACATAGATTTATTTACATTAATTTCGGATGTTGATATTTAGGCTTGTTAATTATTATTTAATTTCTTTTATTTCCTTTGGTTGGGTTGGGTTAAAAGGTCCAGCTTTTGCAATGGACATTCTCGGAATTTTCTTTATATTTTTCACCATGATTTTAATTTTTTTAATTTTAAAAATAAACAATGAAGCTAAGATTCGAATTTTATATATAATCGAATTTTTAATTTTTTTATAATTCGATTAAAATTTTCAAGTGGAGATTTTTATTCCAAATCTCTCAACTTTGGCCAGAAGAATCAGTCCTTTTCTTTATTTAATTTATGCTTGTACATTTTTTTTTTTGGGTGAAAATTTTGGATTTTGGAATATTGTAGGAATTTTGTCAAGAAAAGAAAATGCCTAAATTTTCCAGAGTGTTAAATAATGTGAAGTTTGGTAGATCTTGGGGTGCTTGTGGAGTGGCACAGCTCACCAATGTGTCGCCTTTGACTTCAGTGAAGGGGTTGATCTGATGAAGGAAAGGCTCTTTTTGGTATTTAAGGAGGTGCAGACCCCCTCCTCCTCTCTCCATTGGGACTTCCGCTCTTTCTCTCTGTTCTCAGATCTTCCTCTGCTTCGGCAGGATACCACTGTGTCTCGTCTCAGAAGGTAATGTGTTCGACCGATATGAAGTTTTGAGTTTGGTTCGATCGATAAATCTCTGTTGTTGATGGATTGTGCTGGCCCTTCTGGGTTTCTTCTCCGCGTTCTCAATCGTCGCCAGTTTCTGCGTCTTGTGTGGATCTAGTTAGCATACCTTGGATGTCTTTTGTTTCAATTTTGTTTATTCACAGCTGCAGAATGAAGGGCGATCCTGAAATTAATCGGATTTGTTAGGAAGGGAATGCTAGGAACCGGATACGCGACTATCTCAACTTTTAGGGTTGTAATTTGTACGCATCGCAACAGTTTCAGTGTAGATCTGTGCGTACGTTGACGTCGTAGCAGCTGGGGTTATGTGGTTGGATCTTAATCGACTTAATTCTGCAGGGTTTCGGAATTTTCGATTTCCAGATTTGCATGGCTAATCTTTAGCTGCTTGAGTGGTTGATCTATCTTCCTGTCATGTGTTCTCAGGATCTTCTATTTAAGCTTTAGATCTTCATGATTATTTCCTTCCATGCCCTAAATTTTGACTTCTTTTCGGTTCTAACTCTATTGTTTAATCTCTTCAAATTGGACGAAATTGTAGTTCTATTTACTTGGAATATTACGGTAGTTGCAGATCTGTAATTTTCACAATTTCTTGATTTATTCCTTTTATACATTTTAATGTCTTGAAGGGAATTAACGATATGAATGATTTAGATCTGGAAATGCTTGAATTTTCTGACTGCTTGTTACTGTCCATTTAATTGGTTCAGGCTATCTAGAACACAAATATGGTGAAGATTTGCTGCATTGGTGCTGGCTATGTCGGTGGCCCAACCATGGCTGTCATTGCTTTGAAATGCCCCTCCATCGAGGTGGTAGTTGTAGACATTTCTGTCACTCGCATCGCTGCATGGAACAGCGATCAGCTCCCGATCTATGAGCCAGGCCTTGAAGATGTCGTCAAGCAGTGCCGAGGGAGGAACCTCTTCTTTAGCACTGAGGTTGAGAAGCATGTCTGCGAGGCTGATATCATCTTCGTCTCGGTGAACACCCCAACCAAAACTCGTGGTCTTGGTGCAGGTAAGGCTGCTGATCTTACCTACTGGGAGAGTGCAGCTCGCATGATTGCCGATGTCTCAAAATCTGACAAGATCGTGGTCGAGAAGTCCACTGTCCCTGTTAAGACTGCTGAGGCTATCGAGAAGATCTTAACCCACAACAGCAAAGGCATCAACTACCAGATCCTCTCCAACCCAGAGTTCCTCGCAGAGGGTACGGCAATTCAGGACCTATTCAACCCTGACCGAGTCCTAATTGGAGGCAGGGAAACCCCGGAGGGCCAGAAGGCTGTCCAAGCACTGAAAGAAGTCTATGCCAATTGGGTCCCTGAGGATAGAATCATCACAACCAATCTGTGGTCTGCGGAACTCTCCAAGCTTGCTGCTAATGCCTTCTTAGCTCAGAGGATCTCATCGGTGAATGCCATTTCGGCACTCTGTGAGGCCACAGGAGCAAATGTGGCTGAGGTGGCCTATGCTGTTGGAAAGGACTCCAGGATCGGGCCTAAGTTCTTGAATGCAAGTGTTGGATTTGGTGGCTCCTGCTTCCAGAAGGACATCCTGAACTTGGTCTACATCTGCGAGTGCAATGGTCTCCCGGAGGTGGCCAACTATTGGAAGCAAGTTATCAAGATCAATGACTACCAAAAAAGCAGGTTTGTGAACCGTGTGGTCTCCTCCATGTTCAATACTGTGGCTGGAAAAAAGATTGCTGTACTTGGGTTTGCATTCAAGAAGGACACTGGAGACACAAGGGAGACTCCAGCCATTGATGTTTGCAAGGGCCTTTTGGGTGATAAGGCCAAGATTAGCATCTATGATCCCCAAGTGACCGAGGACCAGATCCAGCGTGATCTTGCGATGAACAAGTTTGACTGGGATCACCCTATCCACCTCCAGCCGATGAGCCCAACGGCTGTGAAGGAAGTGACTGTGACCTGGGATGCCTATGAGGCCACCAAGGGAGCACACGGGGTCTGCATCCTGACCGAGTGGGATGAGTTCAAGACACTGGACTACTCAAAGATCTACCAGAACATGCAGAAACCTGCTTTTGTCTTTGATGGACGCAATGTGGTGGACTCTGATAAGCTTAGGGAGATCGGTTTCATCGTTTACTCAATTGGGAAGCCATTGGATCCATGGCTGAAGGACATGCCTGCTGTGGCCTAAAAGCGAGAGGAATACATTAGATCATAAGGTTAAATTTAAGGTTTAGAACTGAAGACTTTCATAATATTTGTCTTTCTGGATTTTCTCTGATGGCCTATTGCTTTTCATTTTCTAGTTAGCCAGGGAATGCTGGTTGCATTGTTATCATGCCTCCAATCCTATTGTACTCTGTGTCGAGTGTCTTTTGTTGCATTATATGAAAGAACTGATACCTTTTTATCTCTTATACTTGATGTGTTCAATCCTGAAAGAAGAAGAATCATTGCTAGTTTCTTTTTCGGTTTCGTAACTTAAATGTTCTGGTTTTCTTCCAATTTCTAACTTGATCTTCTTGTGGCTTTGAGTTCTATGACCTGGAATGTCTTTATGCATCAGTGTGCATGTAAATTAAGTTCATTCATTGTAGCACTTTTCTGTTTCCTTTCACCGTGAGGTTGCTTGTGAAGTGATTATTTTGTTTCATTCGACCAGAAGTTTCTGCCTATAGTTAATTGCTTTGTGATCCTTCTTCGACCAAATACATGCTCTTTCTTTTCATGAGGGGTCAAATACATGCTCTTTCTTTTCATGTTAGAGAAGGTCAAATATATGCAATGTTAATCCCATATCTAATGTTGTTTGCTTGTAAGCCTGAACAAATCATGAATCGAAGAGAATCTTCTATCAATGATTCGAGAAATTGGATGAACTGCTGAACTGCATGATTAAATACATTTTTTTAAATATATTAAATAATTTTAAAAAATATATATTAAGAATCTAAAATATTAAAACCAATTAAAAATATATATAAATGATAAAAAATAATATCAAACAAATATTATAAACAGATAATTGAATCAGATCGATTACTACTATGATCTAGATTATTTTATGCTCATTAATTTATTATCATTATTTTTAACGTTGGCCACTTATCATCGTTAAAAACAAAACTACTGTTAGATTATTAAAATTTAAATAACTATATTAATTTTTTAATTATAGAGATAAAATCGATTACTTATATTTTATATCGTGGAAGTCTCCAACATTATCCCTCAATCTTTCATCTATCATAACGTCAATAGCTCAGGTTGGGTTCGGTCAGTTCGGGCCCGAGTTAAGGTTCGACTCGGACTCAATTGGAGACAAAAAAATGTCTCTGATTGTAAAATATAATTTCATCGAAAGCCCCGTAAAATGTAGAATTACAAATTAGTTTTATTCCTGCAAAGATGGAAGCCTTGCAATGAGCGCCAGCCCCCAATAAGATTGATAATTATTGTTAAGGCCCTCGACGGGGACCTTTTTGAAAGATTGTTTCCAGCCAAGCTTCGGAGGGATGAATCCGATAAAGGCTTCCAATTGCCGATGGGATTGAAGAAAATGACAGCTAAATTTAGCTAACAACCTCGATCCTTAAGTCGCCGGATACGGGAATACTTCTTTGCCCTCTACCGTAGACTGCGAGCGGCGGAGGGGGGGGTGGGGGGATCTCTTCTTTGTTCTTGTTCGTCTACGAATTGACGAACTCCATTTTGTTGGGCGTGAATTCGAGTGAATTAAGGATCCGTTGATGGGGTGTTGTAATAGCATTAGTGGTGGCGATTCCAGCGCTAATCGGATCGTTCGATGGAGATCGACCGGCATCGTTGCCCTGAGAGACTCCAAACTGAGAGTATATTTCCTTCCTAATCTTTAATTTTGAACTAGATGCTTCGTTTATTGCCTTTAATCGAGTTGTTTCTTAGGATGCTTTGACAAGATTCTTCCGATTTCTCTCTTTTCGTATGCAAAGTCAATGCTTTGCAGAAATTTTCGCCAGCTTGTTTTGTGCTAATATAGGTGAGATTTCGGATTTTTTTTCTTAATGTAATTGGGAATGCTCGATGCTCTCATGTCGATTATGTTTTCCTGGAACAAGGTTGACTTTGAGAGGAAAAGTATTTCTCGGATGTCCTTTATTTACCTAAAACTTACACGGATACATACTTAAAAGATTATATGAAGAAAGCCATATGTAGGAGATAGGAATCTTACTACATGTACTTTTGCACCTAATAACTTTTGTATTGTTTCTTTCTTTCTCATTAGTTGTTCCATACTGATAGAAACTGAGTTATCTTTCTTCTACAGGCAATACCAAGTGAGGTCCTTGTGGTGGATAGTTTTGTTCGTACACTTGATTTAACGAACAACAAAATAAGTAAGTCAGGGTTTTTAAATTGTAATTGCTTCAATGAATTTATTGAAATTGTATTGATCTATCATGAATACTTTTATTCTTATAAAACCATACATATTAACATCTTAGCATCATGTTTGCATCTTTTAACCTCATTTTCTTGTTTATTCATTTTGCAAGAGATTCACATAATTTTGATAATTTCATGATGCATAGTTCAGGCACTTGCTGTCTGATTTATGTATGACAATTGATTGAAATCACATTAGATGGAAATTTTAAGACATTGTTTCTAGAAGTCCTGAATGCATGTCAAGTTTCAATTAAGTGAAATGTACA